ATCAATTATATCACTGAGCAGGTGAAAACAACAAACAACATGAACAAGTGATGACAACAATGAAACAAGTACGTATAAAGTCAACAATAGCAAGAACACACATGAGGTCTCAAGCCTCCACATCACACTCTTTTGGGAAATGGGTTTTTTGGGATTGACTATATTAAGTTACTTTAATATTTTTTCCTTTAATGTAAGTGTGCCAGAACATGACACTCGATCCAATAATATTGTATAGGCTCGTGACGTCCGATCAAAGCATATTATGTTGGCTAGTGGTACCCGATCCAATAAAATTGTTAATTCATCATTATTTATCTCCACTTTCTACTTTATCAGCAATATTTAATCAAGACTTTTTTATTCAAGGCATCACTTTGATAGAGAAAGTTCAAGACTATGGATTTTGCAGTTTTGGGATTACATACAATTCATAACATCATATATATTCTCCAAACTACAAAAACTAAGTACATAGAAAATTTCACAATGTTACTCAACGACTATCAATCACTATTAAGAGTCTCTCTATCATATAGAACAAGCCATAACCTACCTCAACCAAAGAACCAGAGTCAATCAAGAAAATTCACCAATATTTTCCTTCCTTTAATGCCTCAAAATGTTCCCAATCTATCATGCATGCATAAATTGTAAGTAAATATTCTATAACCAAGTTCCTAATCTTGATGCCAATTAATATATCAACTATAGTATTTTCTCGAATTTCAAGCCTGGGGTTGAGTCTCAATTCATCCAAATAACACAACTCTAATGAAATTCATATAATACAATAACCAAATATTTAATTGCCTACACCAATATATCAAAATTTGAATTATAATGTGATAACTACAAGAAAATAAAGACCGAAGCCACATCTTACAATTAGTCGGGGAATCACTGTACAAGAATAATGGTTTCAAGCTTGATAAAATACCTAACGACCACAAATAGGGATTCAAGTTTTTCCAATGGTCTTATTGCCATAGCCAGTAATTACCCATTATTGCAAAATAATTATCTTCCTCACTTTTTATCCCAAAATTCAACCTACTAGTAAATAAAACTCACGCCTATAGCAACCCCACTTTTGCACTCTTATATTTCCTTACCTCACCAATCATCAAGCTAATCACAATTCAAGCTTATACATATCATTAATGTTACTAGAAAGAATTGAAGAACAATTTCACTTGAAGCCGCGCCGTTTCAATTTACTTTTGTAACCGTGCATCTATTTTATCTTCCTTTCTTCTACATATTATTTTCTAACCTAATTATTGTACATGACTAATTAAAAAAGTGGTGAAAGTGGTCCATTACTACTTTTAATAAAATATTTTCATTAACCACCAACTAGATTGTTTATTAAAATTACCTCAGTAGTTATATAACTATAGTTAATGAATAGTCCAAAATATCCACTTAGAATCTACCGAAGGAGTCTTTTATGAAATAAGAAGTTTTAGTATTAAAAATGACCCAGTGGGATATTATAGAGATTTTGAGGCTATTTCTGCATAAAATCCCGTTTCGTCGCGCTATAATGGCTCAACCCGCTATAGAGGAACTTACCCCGCTATAGCGGTTTGTACACTCTGCTATAGTGGTCTGAGACCCGCTTAGTGGAATATGCAAACTTCAGAGACTCAGAAATTCCTAAAGACTCCATTTTCACAACATACCTCCTTTCTTTAATGTCCCGAACTATCCCTTTCACATCAAATTCGATTTCGTGAAGCCCTACAAGTTCCTTAATTTCTTGTCTACAATAATATATCAACCACGCCTAGACATCACACCCTACCCATTATCGGATGTCCCTTGACCTCACCTAGCCTAAATTGAGGCTGGCCTAGCAAAAAAATTAAATCACTACTCGATAAGCTTTCTGACCCAAATTCTTTCACTATTGACCTACCCATAACGATCGGATCGGTTGTTACAATATTACTTCTAATTAATTAATATTAATATTAATTATTATTTGACAATTATGTAAAAAGAAATATAAATTACAATAATTAATCGATTAAAATCATAAAATTTCTTAATTGCATTTGTGCAGTGTAAATTGAGACATAGAAACACATATTGGGCCCGTGCTCGCACGATTCTTTGTATTTAGTGGAATTTACAAAGAAACAATTGTGCTGCTTCAACTGTCTGTTTCATGGTCCTCCGTTTGGATGCTTCTGTGCCGCCTGATGGACTTGTGGTTTAAGTCGGAGGATGTTAGTTCAAAATTTCTCTATAAACTGCTAATATAATTTCCTCCTACAGCTTCTTTTAGTAATTGTACATGCTTTTGTTTTCTTAATTTAACGATTGATGTATACTTTTGATTGATGACTATGTGTGAATTCTAGGATTTCATCCATTACAAGCTTTTGAAAGGGAAATTGGTGAAGATATTTCATGAATTTTAGAAGAAATGAACATGCCTGCTTCTTAATAAGGGCCACTTTGGTCCTTTTTGTTTTTGGTTTTAATTTGTTCGCTTTATTTTTCTTTTTAATTTGGAGTTATGTAAAAAGTATTATAAAATATAATAATATATAACTTAAAATATTTAAAAACATATAAAAAATTTGATTGATTCTCAGAATTCTATCAATGTTACATAAATTAGGACACCATAAGTAACATATATTATTAAAAAATGACGTAAATAGTACTATAAATCATAATACAAAACTTAAAAAGAATCATATTAAAAAATTGATTGACCCTCCAAGTTTTATATGTGTCACATAAATTGAGATACCAAAATAATATAGATTAGGTCCACGCTAGCACGGGCACCTGTATCTAGTAATATTATAGATGGTAGATAGAAAAAAAAAGTGTAATTAACACTCGTTATTCCCAAAAGTACTACAAAAAAGGAATTCTCTCTCTTTTAATTTATATGACAAAATTTGAATAAACACGATGTTTAGAAAAGTAATGAAGATTTTTGGAACGTGTTTCCTCCCCTTTATATAAGTTGTCCAATTTTCTTTTTACACGCTGCTTAAAAAGTCATAAATAAAAAGGGTAAGTTTACTATTTTACCCATTAAGAAACTTTTATTTGAAATTTTATAAAATTATTTACACTTTAAAAAAGAATTAATTGTGAGGACAAAAGAAATGTAATTAATTGAATATTAATTTTGTAAATTGACAAGTAATTTGAGACAATTATTCTTTCGTAACGTGGACAAGTAATATTAAAGAGAATATATTACATCACATTTACATAGCTATAAAAACTTATCCTTAAAAATGAAATAAGAAGTTTAATTAAGTTAGATTCTTTTCCGATTCAAAAAATCATCATTCGAACGAACAAAATTTTTTTATCATAAGGTTATGTATTTTTTTCTTCGTCAAAATTTATGTGATATCCGTTGATTTGAAATTAAGTTTAAGATATATTTTTTAAAATTTATGGTCTAAAAAATTCTTTGACCATTTATGTGGTTATAAATCATTTCATTAAAAATAAGAAAGAAAATTTCAAAATTGAATTATTTTCAATCATGAAAGAATGATATTTTTAAAAAAAAGTAAAACAAAAAGAAAGATGTGTAAAATAAAAAAAAAATGTATCACGTAATTAGGACAAATAAAGTTGACAGCATGATACGAAAAATGTTCAAATAGTAAAACATCTTTCTGAAATTTTAAAGAACAAAAAGAGAGATTCTGGAATTAGAGAGATCCCAGCTTCTCAGGGGTTAGGTTAGTGGAATTATATATCCAAAAACATTACATAAAGAAAAATTAGGAAGGGTCATTTTCTGCCATCCTCCTTTGACTCAATTCAAAATTTTTTACATTACCTAAAAAGGAATAGTTTTACTAATTTATTTTTAAAACTTTTTTGGAAATCTATTAATTTATTCATATTTTAAAATGAAATTAATTGTAAGGATAAAAATTAAAAACTGTTATTAATTTGGTCTTATATTGATAAACTAACAAGTAAATTAGCATAACTATTATCTGTAATATGAACAACTAATATGAAACGTAGACAGTACATTTCATTACATTATGTAAAAGGTTTAATTAAGTTGAATTGTTTTCAAATTCAGAAATTTCCCATTCTTTTTTTTAACACAAAAAAAAAAACAATTATCATAGGGAATATGTACTATTTTCCTTATCGTAATTTACGTGATATCATTTGACTTGAAATAAAATTTAAGAAAAAAAAATCTTTTGAAATTTGTGTTTTAAAATACTGCTTTACCATTTGCGCGACTATAAATTCTTTCATTGAATATAAAGGATAATTTCAAAGCTAAATTGTTCCCAATTATAAAAAAAAGTGATTTTTTTTAACGAAATAAAAAAAAATGTATGTCACATAAAATGAGACAAGTAGTTGATAGAGTTTGTAACATGATAGAAAATATGTTCAAATAAGTGAGATTTTTTCTACCACAAGGGTTATGGTGGAGTGGTAAGTATACTCCATTATTCTTAATCAATGGTTTTAGATTCGAATACCATGAATATGGAGTTGTCTTTGTTATGGAGCGCGATCAAAGTACAAAAAAGACATTGTGGGATTAGAGAGATCCAAGGTAGGTTAGTACAATTATTTATCCAAAAAAATAAACATACATGAAAAATAAATTAATTAGGAAGGGTCACTTTCTGCCATCCTCCCTTGACTCAATTCAAATCTACACCTTGGTGGACTTTGACCATTACTTTTCCACCCTCTTGGCTGGCTACTTCTTTTCTTTCCCATACTTTTCCATATCTAATTTTCTTCTCCCTTGAAAAATTCAAGTTCATATAGAATTATTCCTTCACTACTTTTCTTCTCACAGACTTGTAGTATCAGTCTTTTATATTGGTGGGGTCCTTTTCATCATCTTCCTTTAATCATACTTGTGCAATCCTCCCAACCCTTGTACTACTACTACAACTACTTTTCAAATTGTTCCCCCACAATTAAAAAGTATACTACCACCAAACATGAATGGTAGCCAAAATGTGTTATTAGCTCTTTCTTGAAACACATAAATATGTTTCAATTTTCCATACATGCAAAAGCTTAAGAACTAGAAATATGAAAACCAAACAAACATTCATGTAGTAATTAATCATATATAGAAACTTTGTTATTTTTTTTTGTTGGAGCTGATCCATGGACTCCATCTTCTTCCTTGAAGAAGGAGACCGCGCCGTCTTTCTATTAAAGATAATGGAGTCATTTGGTTGCTCCTACATATGCCTTTGGCAATACTTCCAACCTTCCAAGTAAGATCACTACTTCTTCATCATATAGTTGTCTGTCTATAGCTACTTCTTCAATTACACAAAAAACATGCATCATATAATATAATTAATGTGAGTTCATTTTACTTTGTAGCACTTTCATGTCCTTGGGTGGAATCTACAACGGAGAAAATGACGTTGCCCAGAGATTATTCGAAGAATATAAGCATTCATGGCTTATCATGGATAACAGGTAGGTAATTCGATAATAAATATTGATCACGCTAAAGAAAATAATTGTTCTAATTGTATATGTATTGGTTGATCACCTGCATTCAGCCGCATTCCAGGACTGGCCTTCAAGAACAATGTTCCTTATATGGAACTGAAGTTTGCTGATCTTCAATCACATGCATCCAATCCAGTTCAGCTTCAATTCTATTACGTACGTATACGTACCACTTGATTCTGATTAATACTAGATTTAATTTTTAAAAAACTGTTCAAGCTAACCTTTAAATATATGATTCATGTTGCAGGAAGCTGGGATAAAGGTTCGTATATATACTCTACATGATTAATTAATTTCATTATTATCACATGATGATTCATACACTCGTTTCTTCAATCTGATTTTGTTTTAATTAACTTCAGACAACTATATGTATGGGATGCAGCATAGGAGAAATTGAATTTGGAATGACTTGTAGCCCCCAAGTAAGACCATTGAGTATATAATTTCTTATGAAATTTGTATTCATATTTCAATATATTTATTTATTTATGTATTTTTATATAATAAAGGTAAATTTGGAAATGGGGATGAAAAACTTGTTTCCGGAATACTTCTCAACAAGATCAGTACTTGCTCATCATCAGACATTATTGCTGACAAATATTGATCAAAATAGGCCATCGCCATCTTCATCATTCTCTCTCGATAGCCCAGGAGAATACTCATCGCTTTTATTCAATCCACCCCGAACAGATGCCTTCCCCGAGCAGACCATAAGACCAGTTTCTGCCACGGCCATGCCATTCCATCAGCAACAATCTATTGATCAGACATTAACTCAACTCCGAGGCAGCATTCAATTCCCGGGGGTAGAAACTGAAGATGCTGCATTGACAAGAGCGTATCTCGCTGTCATGACATCAACTTCTTCTTCATCGTCATCTCACCAATCGCGAGAAAATATTAATGTACCAACAGATTATCATTATCAAAAGGCAACTGCATTCAGAAGGTTCAGACCAGGTTTAGGTCGTCCTAGTAATGTGCAAATAGGCACATCCAGAACAATTCGTCGAGAAAACATGTTGAGAAGATCCATTACATTCTTCAGGAATTTAATTATGATGAGAAGGCAAGAGCAAATCCAGGCGAACCAGCGTGCACCTACTAGCACTCAAGTTCATCATATGATTTCAGAAAGAAGAAGACGCGAAAAGCTTAACGATAGCTTTCAACTACTTAGATCTTTACTCCCTCCTGGTACAAAGGTATGATTACTCAAATATGTCTTCATCAACAACATTCCTCACATACATAATCTTCTTCATTAATGATAGGTGGCGCTAAGACTTGAATCCACTATGTGTCGATCATCTAATCCAAAAGATTTATATATACGTATTGTTAGAAAAATTACAATTTCTATCTGTTTCAATTTTTGTTTGTCTTTTAGTTTGTTTCTCTCTCCTTTTTATCAACTCTTTAATTTCAATAAATTTCTACATCACGTTTAAGATCACAAGATTATATGGTATTTAGGTATATCCCACATATCTTTAGTTTAAGATCACAAGATTCAAAAACGTTTTTAATTTCTTAAACTCCGTATCAAGTTAAAATCAGCCAAACAATCAGAATTGTAGGAAGTATGGCCATTATATAGCGTGTGTCGAAAATACTCATCATGCATGTTCCAATAAGATGATTGAAATATAATTGATCAGTTAGTTTGTTGAACTGCAGAAGGACAAAGCATCTGTTCTTTCCAGTACAACAGAATACTTAACTTCTTTGAAAGGTCAAGTGGAAGAACTTAGCAAAAAGAATGAAATGCTGGAAGCAGAGTTAGATAAACCAGAAGACATGATGAAATGCGATGCGATTAGCTCATGTGATGGAAATGAAAGAGTAGCTGTTGAAATAACAAATGTAAGTGAATCAAGTTTATCAAAATCAAGAGTAGTGAAATTGCAAGTTTCAGTAAGAGGAGAATGCAACGTCTTGGATTTTGCCACTCGTTTACTCGAATTCTTGAAAACTCAAAACGATCTAACCTTAGAGTCAGTAGCAGCAAACACCAGGCCGTCCATGGTTACTCACATTACTTTGAGAATTAGAATTCAGGTACACATGCATATTTTTCTTTCCCATTTAAATTACATATATTGACAGTACGTACGTCCATTAGTTTTTCCTTTTAAAGTTTACTACTTATGTATATGGAAATCAGTGTTTTAAAAGGGAGGGAATAAGGCTACACGTTTAACTTAGTATGGAGAGAGGCCTAAGTTATATGGATTTGTAAATTTTCAATTTACAATGTACGTAGTAAAATATTATAATTAAAGACACAAAAATTATAAAAATATATTAATAATTTAGAATAATTAAATAAAAACATGATTAGAGAAACTCATTAAATATAAAACTTCTAACATGATTTTACTAGTATAAATAATGTAATGATCATATAATTAAACTTATTATGAGATGCAAATCAACTCTAGCAGCTTAACTTTCAAAATAATAAAAGAAATCACAATTTCTTAAAATATATTACTATCATACTATGTTATTTACTTCCCTAAGAAAATAATCAATGAAATTTAATAAAACAACATTCCATCGTGAATAAAAATAAATTTACTTTCAATAGCGAAATAATAAAATATGTATGATAATTTTGAGACATATGACAATCACATGAAGACCAATCATATATAAGTGAACATGGAAAATTCAGCTATGTATTTTTAAAGAAATGTCAAGTCATATTTACCTTCACGGTGTTCTCAAAGTGGTAAATATGCAAAACTCCGATTTATTAATTGAGTTATTCTCAATCTTTTTATTTTTATAGATGATTTTTAAAAAATTAAAAAATCATCAATTTATTAAAGAATTATGAGGGTCAACACTGTTAACTAAGGAATTTGACACAATTTGTGTAAGATCTCTTAAATGGGCCCCAAACATTAGATACGTTAAGGCGTATGTACAATTGGATGCTTAGGACGTAAAGTTTACGGTACTAAATCACATGCACACATTGCCTTCATAACTTTTTGCTTGAATTATTGGAGGAATAATGGTAAAGAAGAAATCTCAATTTGAGGTATTATTTTTGATAATTTTGGATTCACTTTCTATTTAGCTAGGCAGCTTATTTCATCGAACAAATTGCTAAAGATAAGAGTTCACTAAGATAAAATCATGCTTTTTTATGTTATCCAAATGGAATTTTCTCTATGCAGTTGACAACCCAAAGTGGAATTGAGATATATTCAAGATCATTCTATACCAAAAATAACAAAATCAAGTAGCAATAACGAATTCCTTTTAAGAAAAACAATACTCTTATTAATCACTTGCAAATCTGTGCATTTCTATCTTATTATTACTCTTATCATGATAGAAAACTGTGTGATTCTTTCTATCTCCATATTTTCTTGCTATTATGAAATTGTATTCACTAGATTATGCAATTATCGTCCTTAGCTCGATAGTAATCAAGAGAAAATCACTTGAGTTTTTTCGTGCGAAACTAGTATCCAATATTTTTCACATGAAATTACTTTTATTTTCTCCTTTTCCTATTTGACTTCCTTCACGCAAAAGACAAACATTAGAATATTGTCCTTAATTTTCTTAAGATATTAAAGAAGAGTTTAAGTTCCATATGATGATGGTATAAAAAGTACTATACACTGTCATGACATTAGAAAAGATGTCACATGTAACTCTATCTCCTAAAATGAATTAATGACATATTATGACATATTAAATTTATTATATTGTCTACTAGTGTATATGTATAGCTTAAATACATTAAATTACTTGTAATGAACACAATATATAGCTGCCTCACCATATATTTCGTAAGCTTATAATTAATGTTTTTCTTGGTACAATAAGCTTATACTCCCTCCGTTTCACAAAGAATAACCTAGTTTGACTTGGCACGAAGTTTAAGAAAATAAAGAAGACTTTTGAATTTTGTGGTCCTAAATTAAAGTTATGTCAAATATACAAAATTGTCCTTTAATCTTGTGGCCTTAAATATGTCACGGGAAAGCTGAAATTAAAATATTACCAAAAAAAGAACGAGGTCATTCTTTTTTAAACAAACTAAAAAGGAAAGAAGGTCATTCTTTTTTAAACGGTGGGAGTAATTAATACAAATATATACCATCAATTTTCAAATAAACTTTGCTGCTTCTCTCAGGCTTCTGTGAACTGCCCCGCCCTCCAAAATAGAAAAATAGTAGGGAAATGTCACTTTCATTATAGGAATAATTTTTCCAACTTTTTGGTTCTCTTACTTGCCTACAAGTTTGTCCGAGCCATTTAAATTATAATACATTAATAGGAAAATTATATCCTATAGCAAATTAATTACTACCTCCATTTCAGTTTGTTTGCCTAATTCTGACTTGCCACAAAGTTTAAAAAAAATATCTTATACTACACGTATATAGAATATATCAAAATATATTTTAATTTTATCATCTTAAACGTGAAAAATTAAAGTTAAAAAGTTACAACAACAAAAAAGTAGACAATATTTTAAACAGACTAAAAGGGGAAATAAAACAAAAACTTGCTATGGAGGAAGTATCATTTCTCTCAAATTGTTAATTATTTATTTAATTATTAATTATATTATAAGTTTAGAAAACTTAAAATTCTTGTTGATTTGTTTTTTAAGTTACCAACTTTGTGTTATTTTCTTGTGTTGGTCCAGGGTAGTGAATGGGACGAGTCTGGTTTCCAGGAAGCAGTGAAAAGGGTTGTTGATGACTTGTCATAGTTGGTAGGGCCATCAAAATTTGACTGGCGGCGCCTAGTATTACGACTATTTCCCCCCTATTATATATACTTTAAACTATAGTCATAGAGATCATCAATTAATATCCTTAAATTACAATCATGTCATTGCACAATTTTGTTGCTAGTTTTACCTCCTAGTGTGTATTCATATTTTATTTCATTTACTAATGTTTAATATTTAATCATTTTGGTTTAAAAAGTATGTATGTATGTTAAGGGTGGTGTATCGGTCAGTTCGATTCTGTTTTGAAGTTTATTGGTTTGTAGACATGCTAAATCATTATAGAACCATTTAAGATATTAGCTTATCTGTTATTGATTATTGATCGTTATCGATTCAGTTATCGGCTTAACCATTAAGATTTGACACAAAAATAATCATTGAAAATCACTTACAAACAAGGTGATAAACTAAATGAACCATGCACATGAGTTCACATATTGCATCTTGCTCAAAAGCAAACACTATATTGTAGAATAACCAAGAGTTTAAGCCAACCAGAAATAAAAGTAGGAAACTAGACTCTAAGTCAAAGACTTTATATACAAAAATAGTATAAATATAATTATTTAATTTACTATCCGATTATCAGTTCCGTTAAGAAAAAAACTCAAAGTGTTAAGAACATATAACTCGATAACAAAAAATAAATTCAAAACAGCTAACCGTTATTGATAAACCAATAAAAAAATTTCGATTTGATTTTGAACAACCCTAGTTTATTATTTTTTGAAACGTAGTTTAAGTTTTTGCCTGATTCATCAAGGGATTTTTGGTTGATTTTGACGAATTGTTTACTGCGAGATTAGATTGATGTCAACATATTACAGTGTTTCCTTTGATCATCTTATCCGGAATATAATTCATTCTATTTATTTGATCTGTGTATTATACAAGTAGTAATCCAAAAAAATTACCTTATGATTGAAAAAATAGTTAAGTAGAAAAGTATAACGTTAAGAGTTAATCAAATTTGATAAGTTAAAAGAATATGACTGAAAATCTTAAAGACGAATAGTAAGATTATAAGTGAAATGACATCAATTATTTAAGATCTTATAAATTTAAGAGGGTTAAATAGTTAATGTAAGCACGAGAATTTGTATATTGTTGTAAAACTTAAGAACAAAAGAACAATATAACGATGAAGACAAAAAGAATATAAGACAAGAAATATAAAAGATGATAGCAATAGAAATAGGGAGACAAGAGATAGGAGCTTTTCTTATTCAAGTGTTCACCAAATCTTCAAGTGTCTACAATATGAACCCTTATGCTTCTATTTATAGTGTAACATAGAGGCATACAAAAGGTTAGTCATAAACATGACATTAACATGAATATAATGGAGGAGGTTATGAGAGTGAAAGGTTACAAGAATAATGGTTATAAAGTTGGAGGTTATGGAAGTTATGGTTATCTTCATAATGGAGGAAAGTAATGGAGATAATGGGTGAGAGTAACTTCTTGGTGTAATGAACATCCACACTATAATATTTTATAACGCTCCCCCTTGGATGTCCATATATAATATGCCTCGTTAAAACCTTACTAGGAAAAAATCCTAGTGAAGGAAGAAGAGTACACGTATCTTTTAATACGCTTTGAATGTTGACTCGTTAAAAACCAGTAACACCCCGTAACTAGAAAGAAATTAAAAAGAGGAAATAGTCATTTTTGGAAAGTATAAATTGTTTTTGGAATGTTTTAAGTGTGTTAAAGTTGAGTTTTTGGTCAACCTCAAATGACCATAACTTCTAGCTTAGGATGAGTTAGGTGTGTTTCCAGATATCGTAGGAAATATCTTGGAACAACATTTCCAACGCCGCTGAGTTTGTGCGATTCCGAGTTCGTATGAGGGAGATATGCCCATTGGAAGTTGGGTTGTTCAAATAAGGAAATGTCCAATCTAGATTTTAAAGGGGCATTATGGTCTTTTCCTTACCCAATTATTTTATTTCATTTTTGGGTAATTAATTGGGGTCTAAACTGATCATAGTCAGTTTACAATTTTGGAAAAAGAGTTATGGTTTTGAGAAAAGAGAAAAGAAGAGGAGAAAGGAGGAAAGGAAGCAAGAATCGTCAAGATCTTCACGAATCGCTTGTGGATTTCGTCAAGGGGTGATTCCTACGAGGTATGTGAGTTCACACAGTGTTTGGTTCATTCACCCACACACCAAACATGTTTTATTCAGTGTAATTTCGTCCTAAAAAGATTGAGAATTTGATGTTCTTGAGTTATATTCTTGAATTGCTTACATTCTTGAATTTGGGATGAGATTGAGGAGTTCTTGAGAGTTTAAGATTGATTATTAGAGTGACTTTGAGTTAGATTCTTGCGTATATGTTGTAGGTACTTGAATCTAAAGAGATATGGAGAAAAAGAATCGAAATTAGGCGAATTGGGGCTAGAAAATGAAGAAGGAACAAGTCGGAAAAATCTGGGTACCAGGTCCGCGACTCCTCAGATTTGAAAATTTCCCCTCGCGTCGCGGAACGGTCACGGACCGCTCCGCCTCAAAATTGATTTTGCGACCAAAACTTTAAATACATCTCCGCGTCACAGACCAGCTTTCAGACAATGATTTCTTGATATTTTATCATGTTTAGCTATGTAAATCCACTCTTAAACATCATGAGATCTTTCATATCACAAATCTCAATCCTTGAATCCATAATTCAATTCAAGGATCAGTTAAGAGTCAAGTCAAGAGAAATTCATAGTCTTCCAAAAGTCTTTTACAAATGATCTAACTTTGTTTTAAGACTTGAATTTTGAGTTCAGTAAAGAGTAAAGTTGAAGTTCATTTCTTCAAAAGTATATGAGGACTATGTAATCCCAAAGAGTTTAAAATGTTTTAACATTTAAACAAGTAAGGAAACTTTGATTTCCAAAGAGCCTTCGAGATAGTTTTCAGAAAAGAGTAAATGCTTTCACAATTAAGCAAGAAAGGAAACTGAGATTTCCAAGATAGCCTTTGAGCTATGTTTTTGATCAATTATCTCAAATCACAAAAAAAATGTTTTTAAACATAAGAGCTAGTATCATATTTTGGGAGTAGTATTGAACACCGATATGGGGGAGAGTCCAGACAACTCACAACCCCCATAAACCATGTAGCCAGCATGGGTAGAAAAGGGTCATACTTTTTAGATGATTCCTTTAGTGCTTTTTAGCATAGACTAGTGAATCCACTTAGTAGTTCAGGTTTTATACCCTCAGCAAGGTATATGACGACCCTAGCAGCGTGAGGCAAAACACTATATCATCACAATAGCTCTTACATGATGGTTGTCGGTTAGAGAAACTCCCACAGAATAAATTATATTTTTATATACACAATTATTTGTATTTCTACATACATTTCAGAGTTATATGTATATTTGCATACACACAAAGTTGATATCATGTTTTAAACAACTTTTCTTTATATTGCACTTGTTTTTAAACTGCTTTATATTGAAATAAGTTCAGTTATGTTGAGTTGAGTTGAGCCAGGTAAGTTCTTCAGTGCCTTTCAAGCTTATATCTTGTTTTCGAATTCCCCTCTCATACTCGTACATTCAATGTACTGATGCCATTTGACCTGCATCTTATTATGATGCAGACACAGGTAACCAGGATCAGCATCCAACGCATCGTTGATCCAGTTGAGCACTCAGAGTCAGTTGGTGAGCCTCCTTGCTTTCTGGAGGATCCATTTGGTTATTATTTTGTTTTATTGCTTGCTTATTTCAGTTGTTAGGATGATCAGGGGTCATGTACCGACATCCCTCAGAGTTTAGAGGGCTTCATAGACAGAGTTAGTTGATGTTAGTTCACGAGTCTTTACTTTCCTTTTCAGTTAAGTTGAGACTTGAGTTGTCACTTTGGCAGTGAATGTTATTTTTTACATTCTCAGTTATTTATTGAGCAGTTTAGTGTACTAATTTAAAAGTAGTTATCTTGAGTAAAGTCTTTCGCTGAGTAAGAAAGCCAGGCCAAGGGTTCGCTTAGGGCCATCAATTGTTCTTGAGTGTCGGCCACGTCTAGGGTGTAGGCTCGGGACGTGACAAACTTGGTATCAGAGCTTAGAGTTCAAGAGTCCTAGGGAGTCTATGAAGCCGTATCTATAGAGTCCTAGTTATCGGTGTGAAGCGCGCCACATCTATAATTAGAAGCCTGCAACATTTAGGAAATTCCTTCACTTATTTCATACTCATTTCGTGCGTTAGAGTTTTATCTCTAAAAAGTTTTTTTCTAATCGTGCTTGCACGTAACCGATTGTGAGTTGGACTGTTTTGAGAGTGCTTTCATGGGGCGTTTCTTTCCCCGTGAGCTAAGAGAAGCAAATAGATAGTTGCTGACATGAAGAGCAGGAAGAGTTTATTCGTTGTTGGGTTGCCTCGTCTGTCAGATAAGGAAAGTAAGGCAGCCATGCTAATAGGTGACATGGGCATAGCAAGGCTGATGATCCATGTGCAACAAGTTGAGAAGGACCAACTAAAGGATAGAGAAGAGTTTGAAAATAAGAGGGATAAGACATTAGGGAATGAACTTGGGAAGCAAAAGAGTAATGCGAACCGGTCTTCTTTCCAACAAAAGCAGAAAGAACCTCCTCCATCATATGCTAGTACACCTACACCAAGGAACAAATGTGAGTACAATCGTCAGAATTCTCAGAACTTCAGAGCTAGGCCTATGCATTCGCAAGGTAGTAAGGCACAAGGGGGTACTAAGACTCCTGCATGTGCTAAGTGTGGTAGGAGCCACTCAGGGATATGTCGTGATGACTCCACTAGTTGCTTTCAAGTGTGGCCAGAACGGTCATTTTATGAGAGAGTGTCCTAAGAGCATACAACGAAATGGTAATGGGGGCAATAGAACCCAGTCTTCTTTAGTTGCTCCACCAGATAGAGCTGCATCTAGATGATCTACTTCAAGGGCAGGCGGAGAAGGAAACCATCTTTATGCTATCGCTAGTCGCCGAGAGCAAGAG